TTTTATTCCATTTTTGTTTCAATTATTGTTTCTTTTCATACAAAGAAGAGTTGTTGTTTTAATTCCAACAAGCAATCACAAGAAGGCAAAGAAGAGTTAAGGAGCCTAGTGTACTAGTGAGGTACTAGTGAGCCCAAAGTTGTGAAGACAGTTTTCTTCTCTCCGTAAGTTTTAGTTTTCCTTGTTTATTGATTATTTTTGCGGATGAGACGAGCAGCGTGGCGCAGAGGAAGCGTGCTGGGTCCGGACCCAGAGGTCGGTGGATCGAAACCACCCGCTGCTAACCTTTCTCGCCTTTCTTTTCTTCTCGTTTTTTTTATTATACTTTACCGTAAAGTTTGTAGAAAGAAATGAGTAAACTTAGACGTTTGTCAAACTATGAGAAATGTTTTGAAAAAAAAAACAAGATCAGATTGTTGGTGAACATGAGTACACATTGCATAGGTCGAATAACGAAATTTGACTAAAAAGGCGTCTAAATGGGATCGAATTGTTGAGAAACTGTATGTTTATGGAGTTCTTAGTAATTTAATTGTGTAACTTGTATTTTCAAGTACGGTTCTGGATGGTCTCCGCGTACCCAAGAACATCAATTTGCCTCAGGCATGGTTCAGGATACGCGTGGTCTATCCAGAACCGAGCCTGAGCATCGTCCTGGATAAAGCACGGTTCTGGATACGTGTGGACTATCCAGAACTATGCTCATGCATGGTTAAAGCACGGTTCTGGATACAATCTGGTATCGTGTTCCGATTCCACCCATGTATATGGCACAATTGCAACCCGGAATCCTTCCGCCACAAGATCGGAATTCCAAACACAGCGGTAAAAAGCGTCTCCCCGCCGCCTCACCGCTACCCTACATGTACCTACCGCCGCTAATGGACCCGCTAAAAGCTTTTCTGAGGCTCCGCGTGGCGGGAAAACATGGCGGCCGCCGTGTGGGCGGGGGTAGCCTCGAGAGCAGGCTTTCTGGAAGGCACAGTTTGTTTTTACGCAGTAGATACTGACTCTGTCCTCAGCGGATACAGTTCTCCCCCTATTGCGTCCAGAACTGTGCCTATCTAGTCCAGGACCTATGCGCATATATATATGTCTGAATGGGTTATGGTTAGGATCAGGCACGGTTCTGGATAGTCTCAGCGAATCCAAGAACATAGATTTGCCGCTGGATACGCGTGAACTATCCAGAGCCGCGCCTGAGCATATGGTTCTATATACAACAGACATCGCAACACTTTAACAGCTCGTAGAAGCAAACTATCCGCTAAAAAGTCTGGGCACGAGACTAGAGCGACCTCCACTCCGGCGGAAAGCGCGTTTGATGTCCCCCGGAAGAAGTGTGCCATCTCCCTCGGGCGCTCAGGGTGATTTCTGCGAGATTTTAACCCAGATCTTCTCACCCGGGCTCCTTTGTACAACCTCCGCGTCGCCTTTTATTTTCACCCTCGCTGTGAAACAAGCCTCGGCGCGGACCCATCTCGCTAATTACGCTCTAATCGTCTGACTGACATATCTCGACAGCGAACACAACAGCAGGGTAATCAGGACACAAATCGCGCAGTAGCCTGCCGAGTGACACGGCTGCAGGGTAAGTGGAACACAGAGCCCACAGGTAGCGCTCTAATCGACTGACTGACACATTTCGACAGCAGACACAACAGCAGGGTAATCAGGACACCAATTCTGCAAATAGCGCGGTAATCGACTGACTGACATATCTCTACAGTAGTGCCGACAGTTGGGTAACCAGGCAGATAAATGTTAGTGCCCGGCAGGCATTTCTTTCCCCTGTCCTATCCTTTCCAGAACTGTGTCTATCTAGTTCTATGCCTGAATGGGTTAGGGTTAGGATCAGGTACAGTTCTGGGTAGTTTAGAATTGCCACAAACAATGTTCTGTATACACGTGGACTATCTAGAACCGTGCCCGATACTGGTTCTTGGTTAAGCACGGTTCTGAATACGGTGTGGACTTTCCAGAACCATGCTTGGGCACGGTTCTGAATAGAGCACAGTTCTGGATAAAGCAGGGTCCTAGATACAACACAACAATAAATAGGCAAACGGAAAGAAGCCGTAAGACCAAACCCTCCCTGTCCTTAGTGCTAAAACACCAGTGCACGCTTATATCGTTACGAACAGCAGAAATTTCTTCCCCGCCAACTTTCAGCTTGAAATCTGATTTGTATCGAACCCTCTGCTCCAATTTGGGCCGGTCTTGTCTCCAACTCCGCGGAATTGCCCCCGGGGCTAGCAGCAACTGCTCCGCGGAGACCGGCCGTCTAGGGGCTAATCTTAATAGCTCCGCGGAGGCCCCGTCTGAAAGCTGGCCTGAACTACTCCGCGGATATCGACATGACCTCGGCATTATGTTACACTGATTCAGACAAATGGACGCTCGGAAAAGATAGCATCGAAACGCTTCTACTTTTCATAAGAAATAGAAAAAGTAACGTTTCTCTGCGGTCTTTCCTGCTTGAATCTCTGACGGTGACCTTGAGGGAACGGCTGACCTTGTAAAAGGAACGGTTGTTGTAACTGTGCCTGGGGCAAACCTACGTTCTTGGATACGACTATGTTTTGTGACAGTGTTGAAATAAATCATTTATATGCTTACTTGGTTTACCAGTACGTGTGGTGTAGGATGCATGCTAGTGAGGGGTTTAACATTGTCCGTCCTGTCAAGTTTGATTTTTGCGTCTCCACTCAGAGATTAGTTTTTATGTAAAGCAGGACTTACCGAGACCTCAGCTACCATTACTGTATCATCTTCTGTTATAGAGTACTTTTACTTTGAGCTTTCTTTAAGACTGAGTAAAATCTTCCCTCTTACTTGCATTTAACCCACTTTGGTTAAAACAGCCTGTGAAGTCTAAAAGGTCTAATATCTGCATAAAAGTTCACCTGTGACGGTTGTTGAATTGAGTATGAAGATCTAAAACTTTGGAAAGCTTAGAGCTCTGACCGAAAGGTTGTTTGGGTTTGTATCAGTGTAAGTTCTCTCTCTCTCTCTCTCTCTCTCT